GACATTGGCCTGCTTATCATTTATTTTTTCTTTGATCTTAACTGTTTTCATTGACTGCCATCTTTTTTTCCTCTGTAATACTTACCAAATAGAATATACATTTATTAGTAGAAGCATTCTTGTCCAAATCTCGGAAAAGTATATAACTAATCTTCTAAAAGCAAAGCAAATAAAAGCCTTAATCAATCTGAAACTCTTAAATAAAATAAAAAACATTTTATTAAACCCCAAAGACACCTTGCTTTATGATAAAAATATATGAAGTTTGGCCAAAAAAAAATTTAGGCTTGAAGAAATTATGCCTGAAGATTACAGAGTAATTGTAAACACTACAAATAACTCTGTATTAATAACTGAAAGGTTTTATAAAGTTCTCTGTTATACTTATGGTGAAATAATGCAACATAGTGGTCAAAAACAAACCTAGAAGTCAATTTGTGAAAAGTGAGGATTTGTAAAACAAGAAGTTGTAGAACAATTTGTAAATAATTGCACTGTATATACAGCCTAAAAACTAGCGTTCCATCTCTTGGCAGCAAAACCAATCATTGCAAAAGACTTTTTGTCTCACATACAGGTAAGTTTTACATTTTTAAAAATAAAAATTAAAAAAATTTTTTTTAACTATATTTATTTTATATTTTGCAGATGGATTTGATCGATCTATCCTATATATCAGATAGAGATTTTAAGTATATATATTATATAAGAGACCATTTCAGTCAGTTCTTGTGGGCAAGATCTCTAACATTCAAGAGAGTGATTGAAGTCGCAGCATATCTTTTTGATCTTTTCCATATAATTGAATTACCTTGACTATACTCTAGTCTGACAATAGGAAGGAGTTTGTAGCACAAATAATCAAGGAACTAATAAAGTTATGACCATCAGTGAAAATTATTAACGAATGCCTTAGGCATCTCCAATCACAAGGTTTAGTGGAATATGCCAACAGCATCTTGGAGCAAAAGCTAGGAAAGTGGTATGAAATGACTGACAGAAATAACTGATCATTCAGCTTAAAATTGGTCATGATGGTCATGAACAATTCATAGTGTAGATCGCATAAAAAAACCCCCTATAAACTAGTTTATAAAGACAAGCTCCATGATGATTGCTCTCTGATTGATGAACTTTATGCAAATAATATCTTCGATGAAGAGGAAATTCCCGATACAATCGAAATTTCCAGTGATTATGATATAGAATTGGACAATAATATGGTCAATATTAAAATTAATTAAAGCATTTTATTTATTACTAACTACTATATATACTTTTTTTTAATTATTAATTTATTTATTTTTAGAGTCTTTATCTGATAATATTGGTGATTCAGAACCATCACCTAATCATGTTAGTTTAGTTCTATCGCTCGATAATCATATTGGTCATTATATGTTTTCGCCTGAAAGTTTTGTGTCCTCACCCAAAAGCTCTGTATCTTTACTCAATAATTATACTGGTTTACTAATAGCTTTATATAATGATAATAGTAGTTATACTATGATTTTGCTTAATAATTATGCTATTACTTATTGTAAGATTGTAATATATCTGAATAAAAAAAAAATTTAAAAATAAAAAAGTAGAAAAGCTTACCTTATAGATATAGTATAAAAGAGATGACTATGACTATTATGCGCAGAGAAGAGGCGAATAATAATTAGTTACCCAATATCATCTTTTATTAATAATGGTTTATCTAGTGCCTTTACTCAATAACCATATTCTACCATCCTTGTCTAAAAATCTAGTGCCTTTGTATAATAGTAAGTATATTGTGTTTTACTAATGTCATGTATTGATTATTCAGTATTTAGTTAATATCAATTTTGTTATCTAGTCTTTTCACCCAATAATTATGATCTAGTGTCTTTACTCAATAATCATAGTCTTGTGTCTGTACCTTAAAATTTGGTGTCTTCAAATAATAATAATAGATATATTTTGCTTTTATCTAATATCAATATTAATTATTTAGTATATAGTTTAATAGCATTTTATTATCTAGTATCTTCATCCAATAACCATAGTCTAGTGTCTTCGCATAATAACTATGGTCTACTATCTTCACCCAATAACTGTGGTCTAGTGTTTTTACCTTAGAATCTGGTACCTTTGTATAATAATAATAGTAGGTATATTTGCTTTTTCCTAATTTCAATAATAGTTATTCAGTATATATAATAGTCTAATAGCATTTTATTATCTAGTGTTTTTACTCAACAGTCATGATCTAGCATTTTCACTTCAAAACCTAGCATCTTTAAAGAATAATAATGATATATTTACTGTATTATACTCAACAATTATGCTAATTATTTATTATATTCTAACAATAATATTTTATTTAGTACCTTCACCTCAAAACTCAGTGTTTTTTAATAATAGTAATTATATTATAATTATTATTGTCCATTGAGAGGTTAGAATATAACTAGATAAACAAAAATTAGAGATAAAAAAAAAATAAAAAAAGTAGAAAAGCTTACTTTATAGACATAGTATAAAAGGGACAACTACAACTATTATGCATGGGGAAGAGGCATATAATAATTAGTTTCCTGATATCATCTTTTAATAATGACAATAATTTATCTAGTGCCTTTACTTAATAACTGTAGTCTACTATCATTGCCCAAAAATTCAGTATCTTTTTATAATAGTATGCATATTGTGTCTTATCTAATATTATATTTTATTCATTATTTAGTTAATATTAATGTCATTGTCTAGCATCTTTGCCTAATAATCATAATCTAGTGTCTTTACTCGATAATTGTAGTCTTGCACTTTTACTCCAAAATATAGTGTCTGTGTATGATAATGATGGTAGGTATATTGTGCTTTCAATATTGATTATTTAGTATTTAGTTAATATTAATTTTACTATCTAGCATCTTCACCCAATAATCGTGATTTGGTGTCTTTGTTTGATAATCATAGTCTTGCACTTTTGCCCTAAAATCTGGTGTCTTTGTATAATAATGATAGTAGGTATATTGTGCTTTCAATATTGATTTTTTAGTATTTAGTTAATATTAATTTTATTATCTAGTATCTTCACCCAATAACCATTATCTAGTGTTTTTGTCCAATGATCATGGTCTTATGCTTTTACCTCAAAATCCAGTGCCTTTGCATAATAATAATAGTAGGTATATTGTGCTTTCAATATTGATTATTTAGCATATAGTCTAATAGCAATTTTATTATCTAGTGTTTTTGCTTAATACTTTGCCCAATAACCATAAAGCACTTACTAATATAACTAATAGTTATCTAAGTTCTGAGCAGCATGAGATACTATGAGATGCTGCATAACAAAACCTTGTAAATTATACCAATAAAATAGTGCAACAGATGTTAAAAAAAGGAAGTTTACCAATTTTAAAGTTGATAACTTTGTAAGAGTAAGCATTCCAAGGATTGATCGATTTAGTATTGATCATTCCGCTTTATCTTGCAAAATTTTAGAGAAAATTGAAGAGGACTAGTATAGACTGGATTATAAATTTGATATAATCAATGCAAGTTATTTCTCAAGTGAGTTTGAATTACTCAAAACTACCACTTATCCTGAACTTGATGAAATTTTATCAAATCTAATATCTGTTCATAAAGCAGCAAGACTCCAGAGTGTAGAGATGATATTAGGTTCTGTTTGTAACTGCAAAAGTTCATGTGATAGTAAAAGATGTAAATGTATGAAGGTAAACATGAAGTGTACAAGCTGTTATCATAGTGGTCATTCTTGTTTAAATAAGGATTAATACATGTATGCTTTTGATATAGCAATGTTTAATAAAATATGAATTTAAGTGAGACATGATTAAACAGTTTTATTAAAAATTTTATTAAAACATTAAAATTTCAGAGTTAAGCTTTAATTTGGCCAAGTTTTTAATGAATTATTGCTTGTATTTATCTTAGTTCTCTAAAAATTCTGTCTGAAATAACATTCTGGAGAACCTTCTAGCATAACTACCTAGTGACTGAACTTGTTTTGGGTTGCTTTTATCATATGCACAGTATACTCTAATCCTAACATTAATTTAATTAGAAATTCCAAATCCACTTAAACTTTATTTCCACTTACAATGTATAGACAGGTTTACTAATTTTTCCCTACAGTTCCTATTGAATGAGAAAAAATCCTACTTTTCAATCAAATAAAGAAAATGTCATTGAAACAGTATAAAGATCTAATAGAATAAATATTATACTAAAATTTTAAAAAAAAATTTTTTTGTTAGAACACAAAAGGTGGTTCTGTAACTAAAATTTTAAGCTACTGATAATTTTTGAAAAACTTTAAAAACTTTGATTTTTTTTTGAAAATGTTATGTTACATCTGATCTTTTAATTTGATTGGTAGACAAAAGGTGGTGTAGTCAACATTATCCAATTAGAAATGACATTTACAACTTTCAATTAGAACTGTAAGGAGAAATTAGGAATCCCTGTATAGACATAGTTCAGTAGTTATATTAAAATTATATATGTATATACATATTTACTATATATAACAGATAATCAAAAATTTTAATATTAATTATTTTAACATATGTAGCACATAATTTATATTAATAATTAACTCGCAAGAATGATAAATTCGAATTATTCGATCAGTTATATAATCATTATTTAAAGTCTGATTTCACAATGAATAAATAATAGTTGAATACATGAGTATCAATCAGTACATCAGTTGATAACTCACACATCTCAGATTATAGCTGATGCATGTCAGGTAACTGATTGACAGATGACATGCATCACCTGAAAATTGGCATCTGACACAAGGATGCATCTGAGGCACAATATATACAGTCGAACCTCTATAATTGCACCCCCTTGGGACTAACCATAAAAGATTATTTATAGAGGGTGTGCAATTAAAGAAAAATAAAAGTTTTATAATAAATTATATTATATATTATTATAATCTATTAATACTGTTTTTTATTTTAAACTATATATATTTATATGTACTATTAATGAAAATACATATCTATATTAGTTTGCACTATTGAACTAATTTTTTTCTTTCTAATAAAATTTTCAAGACTATCTGTTTGTTTTAATTGCCTACCAATCTCAACAGTTTCTTCTTGTTAAAGTAAAAACAATCTAATATTATTCAAATTTTCCAATGCCGCATTAGCACTAATAATCAGTAATTCATTACTATCATCATTTTCATCTACATTATCTGTTTCATTTGATTCATTAGCATTTTTAGAATTAAATACACCAACAAGCTCCTCAATAATTTTATCATCACTAGAAACTTCATAGATTACATTTTTACTTGGAAAGTTCAAAAACTCATCAACACTCATTGCATTAGAAAAAGAATTAAGAACTTCAATAAGTTGGTTGTGTGCCAGATCATCATTTCTAAATAGTAAATAAATATAAATATAAAGTTAAAATATATTGATCTCGATAATTAAAATTCATATAATTAATAATTTAACAAGTTATTATCTGGTTTGTACTGGATTAGTGCTAATAGGAAGGATCTTCGTTTTGCACCAACAATTTTTAATCATTTCAATAGTGACTTCTTCCTAACCCTTAATTATGTAACGGATAGTCTGGAGAACATCCATCTTCAAGTTTTGGATTGGTTTGCCCTCTTCGACCCTCTCTAAAATCTATTTAAATATTAGTTATTCATAATAGATAGCATTAAAATAGCAAATTAAGATTAAAATAAAGGTAAGCAAACAAGTAATTGTGTTCATAAGTGAAGCGAACGATGAATTCATAGATTAATAAATTAACATAGGGTAGGTAAATAATAATTTTTATAATATATGCAAGCGAAGCAAACAATTAATAGATTAATAAATAAATAGATGAACGAATGAACAAATTAATGAATAAACAAATGAATGGATGAATTGACAATAGGTTAAGTAAATTAAAATTAAGTTTATAATATATATAAGTGAAGCAAACAAATTAATAGATTAATAAATAAATAGATAAGTGAATAAACAAATCAATAAATAAATAAACGAATAGATAAATATATAAATTAATAAATTAACGATAGAAGGGTAAAATAAATAATAATTAAGTTTATAATATATGCAAGCAAAGCAAACAAATTAACAGATCAATAAATGAATAGATAAGCAAATGAACAAATTAATGAATAAATAAACGAACGAATAGATAAATATAAAATTAATAAATAGTAAATAAATAAGTAAATAGATTAATAAATAAATGAACCAATAAATTAATAAGCAAATGAATAAATACCAAAGAGATAAATAAGTTGGATAGATAAAAGGTAAACAGATGAAAAGAATTGATTAATTAGTGAATGAATAGATAAATGAGTGAATAAATAGAAGATAAATGGATATAACTGAATGAATTTTGGATAAATTATTAGACAAGTAAAAAAATAAATAAAAATAAATAAATTAATAAAAATTAATAAAAAAATAGAAGAATAATATATGAGTAAATACATACCTGAGTGAGAAAATAAATTAATAAATAGATAATCAATCAATAATTTTATAATTAGATGCATGAATAAATAAATTTAGATAATTGATTGTAAATAAATAGTTATATTGATATATTTAAATAAACATATAAAATAAAAAATAAATGCCTTATTGAAGTTAAAATCAGCGATAATGTTTTTTAAAAGACATTATTATTCCAGCATCCATTGGCTGGATAATCGAAGTAGTATGTAGAGGAAAGAAATATATATCAGTATTATTTAGTTTTATATCAGTAATTTTATGGCTACTACAGTTATCAAGTAAAAGAAGCATTCATTGATTTTTATATTTTTTTGCCATTTGTGCATCAAAATTTTTCAACCAGTCTTGGAAATGAACTGCAAGCATTCATGCTTTAGTATTGTATTAATATTTGATAGGTAAGTTTTGAATATTAATATTCTTGAAACATCATGGTTTAGCATATTTCCTGATTATTAATGGGTTTAGCTTATGTAATCCATCTGCATTTGTGCATAGTGCAATTGATAATTATTTTTTATTTTTTTTGTGACCTGAAAGACGTCGTGTTGCTAGTGTCTGATCTGGCTCTAACCTGTAATTAAAATAAAAGTTTTAAACAATAATAAAAATCAAAAATTTTAAATAAATAAAT